AATTTATTTATAAATGTTCAAAATTTACTAGAATCTTACAAATTAAGATCGGGTTGTTTTTAGAACATTCCAAATTAATTTTATGATTACTTTTAGGAATGATTAAAAGTATTGAATTATTCTTTTTCTGTCAACCATCTTTTAAACATTGACAAAATGAAGAAAAGCAAGATAATTGATCAAGACCTCTGTAAGCATATTGTTGACCTTCATACAAATGGATTTGGTTATAGGAAGATACCTAGTCAGTTAAATATGCCATTGAGTTCAGTTGGTATGATAGTTTGTCACTGGAAGACGTGTCATACCATTCATCCCAAAATAGCTCTGGTCGTCCTAGAAAGGTGATGGAACGTATGGTAAGATATATATATATAAAATGTTGCAAAGTTTTGCCATATTATGCTCTATGAATTTCGGAAATGACTAAGTGTCAGAACTGTGAAAGGAAACATTCAGAAGGTTTATTTGGATTGTGCTCTAGCTCTTTGGACAATGAAAAAATGATTTGGCAAATTTTGTTAGTGATTTTAACCTAAACAATTGACCCCACTCCAGGCAACCTTCCAATGTTGATATTGTTCTGCTTTCCATTGTAGCAAATAAACTGAAGATGTTGGGAGAAGGGATTGATAAGTGATTAAAAATCAATATCTCAACTGCCTCAACTCTCTAAGTTTCTGCAAGGTCTGTTTTGTAACATACAGTCTTGTGTTGTGGTAGAAAATGATTTTTGATCTACTAATATTGGATGTTTTTCTTGAACCCAAATCTCTTCAAATGTCAAAGGCATGTCTCCTGACATGGCTCCTTCAGATTTTTATTTGTTCTGGTCTGTACAGCCAGTTGAAATCTTTCATCAACAAAAAACACAAGGTTTCTGTAAAAATGACATCAATAAGCTTGTTGAATGATGAATGTCATTTGTTAAAAACAATGGAAACTATGTGCTTGATTAATAAATGTTATTTTGGGAATGAGTAAAATTTTGTTGTTAATTTTCTCATAGGGGATAAAATTTTGGAATGATCTAATATCTCTGACGGTCTCTTTGTCTCTCTCTCTCTCCCTCTTTTATATTAGGTACCTCCACAAGATTGCTAAAAAAAAAAGAGCAAAGCATGATGAAAAAGATGCAAAACTTGACGAAAACAAAATTTTATCATTTAAATGTTTGTTATTAAAAGGAAAGATTAAAGTGTTTTTGGGGTGGGGTATTTTTTACATTTTTTAATCATTTTTAGCATGTCAGAAAATTTTGTTAAAAATCTTTTTCTTTTTTTTTTTTTTTTGAGTCAGCAAAATTGTTAGATAATCAATCATGGCAACCATTTTTTTTCCATTTTATAAAAAAATGAAAATCTCACTTTGAAATTCTTTTAAAAATCAACTATCATTTTTTTCAAAACTTATTTTAAGAAAATCAAAAATTATAATGGATTATTTAAAATATTTTGAACCAAGCTTAACTTAGCTTCTGCGCTGAAAAGATGTAATTTGAAAATAAAACAATGCGGGTCGTAAACTTTTGCGTCACTTGACAGGTGACGAATGACATTGACGGATTACATGAGGATAGTTCCTTCTACAGAAGGAGAGAAGTGAAGTTATTTACCTTGTTATTTTTAAGGAAAACTTTCAGCACTCTAATTTTTTCCTTCCTTTTTTTTTTTTTTTTTTTTTTTTTTTTGTACTTACCTTTACGTTTATGATGCTTTATGGAAAATATATTATAAAGAAATTAAAATAAGACTGTTAAGAGAGATTCAATTTCATAAGAAAGGTATCTAATTAATTTATAAGTACCTTTATGAAATTTGATCAGAAGTGTACATAAAATACTATAATTTTATGTACATTTATTACATTTTACTGTGTTATTTGTATTTCCATTCATTTTGATATTTCATTTATGGAAAAATGTCATAACTGAGATTAATATAAAAATAAGATCATATAAATTTCATAATATGATGTTGATACTTGTAGGTACCCTTCTCAGTTAAAATTGAAAAATCAAATTAACTTCTCCATGTGTTTCGCAAAAGTAAAGGTCTTAACAGTGGAGAACAATGCTTAACTCAAATAACGCAACTTAATTGTATTCTGGTTGGTCTTCCATACTTTATAATTACAGCTCGATTATAGACACAAAATTAGATTTCTTAATTACTGTGGATCTTCTGATTAGTCAAAATGATACAATTTACAACACGCTAAAAAAAAAAAAAGATCTATCTCATAAGGGCACTTATGAAAGCAGATGCAGCTTTTAATTAATTTATAATATTTTAACTTAAATGTAAAAATCTATTATAAATAAAAATTAACAAATAATTGTATTAAAAATTCGTTTTTCATCGAAAAGATTTTTTGCTTTCAGAAAACTGTGTCTATATTCATAAAAACAACTAAAAGCAAATAAAAGCATTTGAAATTAAATAATATCTTCGTTTTATTGAATTTTGTTTATTACAATTCAGAGCTGATTTTCAGGCAGGGCGGTCTAATTAAAAACAAAAAAAAACATTTGCATTCCTCAAAGCCTTGTGCTTTTAATTATTGTAATCACTAAAGTGGACACTATCGAATTTCTAGAGTTTTCATAAAATTAGTTATGGGGGTGATAATAAATATAAAAAAAATATTTCTGCCATGACTTTAATAAAAAAAGACATAATAATTTCGATCATCTGTGAATAGTTTCTGAAAGTTTTATTAACATCGGACAATTATTTTTATTTTTGCAAGAGTTTCCAATTTAATGTGTCATACAAAAAAATGTGCTAAAAAATTGTATGTTATTTTACTAGGTCTGGTGATACAAAGAGAAACAAGGTTTTTTTTTTTTTTTTTTTTTTTAATCAAAATTTAGGATATTCTAAAAAGAAGGAAAAATTTTTAAAAAATAATTAAAATAAACTTTGGACTTTCCTCTCCATAATAATATAAACATTTAGATGATAAAATTTTGTTTTCATCAAGTTTGGCATCTTTTTCATCATGCTATGCTCTTTTTTTAGTGATCTTGTGGAGGTACCTATTTTATATATATATATATATATATATATATATATATATATATATTTTATTAAAGACATATTTTTATGTTTAACGTTAAACATAAAAATATGTCTTTAATAAATAAATTGTCGGACCTTGTCCATTTAATATTATATATATATATATATATATATATATATATATATATATATATATATATATTTCTGTGTATAAGATGACCTTTAAATCCTCAAAAACCACCCTTAAAAATTGAGGTCATCTTATACTAAAATTCTGCAAAAGGAATCTTAAATTCTGGGTGATGTTTGCCAGTGGTCTAACCTTGGCCTCTGTAATAACCAATAACGTGCATGAAAAGATTCATGTTATGAAATAAACTTATATTAAAAGTAATAAAACCATTTCTACCTTATATATTAATAGCATAACTTCATAATAAATTGCCTATTCAAAGAATAATTCCATATCAAATAAATCAACTTGTATCCGTGCAAGCTCAGAAACATTGAGTTATGATTGCATTCACAGCAACCTTTATCTTTCACTAAACTTTCAATAATCATCATGGTAGTGTTAATTACAGCTACTTCAATGCTTTTCAAGTTAGACCTTGCTACTTCATATTTTCTTTGTTTTGCTGGTGGTTCCATGATTGATGTAGATATAATTTAATGAGAAATTTTAATTGGCTTAGACAAAAAAAATGTTGAAAGTGGAATATATTGTTATTAGCAGTATTTTGTGACTGTTGATGAAGTATAAGTAAATAGCCAGACTGTAATTGTTTAGATATAGGAAAAGAAGAAGAATCAGTATTTGCAAGAGATCACATGATGAAACATAAACAATGTTTTTTTTCTTTCGGGGATATATTGGAAAAACTCTATATAGAATCAGTTTTGTTATTCCGTTTTTATTTTGAATTTTTAAGGATACAGTAACAGCATTTCTTATAACATCATCTTTATATAATCAATAAGTAGTTCTCTTATGCTACAGGTATAGGAAAAATTCATGAAAATTTTCTATATTTTTTCATCTCATCTTATCTAAAGGTCACCTTTAAATGAACTTTTCTGCTCTTGAATGTGTTTGTGTTCATAGTGCTTGCCAAATTGTTATTTAAGATTGGACCTCCAAATTTTTTAACTTTCACTTTTTATTTCAGATCTGTGCCTCCAGAAACCAAGTCTATTTAATGATATTACATGAAAACACTTGTGCTACCATTCTGTTTATAAGGTGAAGATTTGGAGTGAAACTTTTTTTTTTTTTTTCTTTTCTTTAAGTATATTTTTAATTTTTTAAAAGCTTGAGAAATTTTTGTTTAATTTAATTTTTTTTTATTTGCAGAATTCCTGTAAATGGCCAGTGGTATGAATGGTGACAATTTTGCAATAGACAATGCCAATGGAAAATTTATTCTGTCTCCAGATGCTGGGGATAACTCAGTAAGTTCTGAAAAGGAGCTTTTAGTCGGTGCCACCATGCACCCAGAAAATTCTCATGTAGCTTCTGTGTCTCCTGACTGTAATGATAGTAATGGGAGAACAAGTAATAACAACAACAGCAGTAACAGTATCATTGTTGAAAACCAAGTTATTTCCTCATCAAACAGTTGTTCTTCAGATTCAAAGGGCAATCTTATTATCACAATGCCCTCTCCAGCTGGATCACAGATCCCTAGTGGAACAGACACCATTCAGGTAGAAATTTCCAATGGATCTTCAGTGGACCAACACACTTCCTCAGTGGACATTGACTCATCAACTGTGGGGTTCTGCTTGGTATGTGGGGATCTTGGTTCTGGGTACCATTATTCTGCCTTCTCTTGTGAAGGGTGCAAGGGATTTTTCAAAAGGACCGTGCAAAAAAATCTCACATATCGGTGCAAGGATGCATCAAACTGCATAATAAATAAATTTACACGAAACAGTTGTCAGCATTGCCGGTTCCAGCGTTGCCTGCAAGTTGGTATGAAGAGAGAAGGTGAGTTAGTGTTGTTTTTTTTTTTTTTCTTTTCTTTTCTAAGTTATTTATTATTTATTTGTGTTTTTGTTACGTCTATGAATTTTAATACTGGATAATACTTTGCCTTAAATGACACCCTCTACTAGTTGTTATTAAAAGAAACGAGAATGATTTTTTTTTTTTTTTTTTTTTCATCTGGCTGAACAAAGACTGTATATCAGTCTGGGTTGGGGTACAAAATTTTATTATGGCTTTATAAATGGACATTTTTAAAAGTATGCATTAATATACACAAATATCTATTAAAACATTCTTTTTCTCCTTTGTTTTAATATATATATATATATATATATATATATATATATATAGTAGCGTCCAAAACTAAGGGACAAAATTTTAAAACCTAATATTTGTTAGAAATAACAACTGTGAAAAGCTGAAATTTTGACAACTGGTAGTCGTTATCATCCATAATAACATACTAAAATTTGAATCATTTGCAAAGGATAGAAAAAGAATTATAACAATTATTTATTTATTTTCAAAATAGGATCGTCCAAAAGTAAGGGACAAAATTGAGAAAAACAATGTAAACAGTATGCTATATTCAAATTTTTTGATTTCCTCTAAAGAATAAGTCTTACTTAGTCATTTGTAAATGTTGCATCAGCCGGCACCATGGCGAAACACCAAAAACTTGATTACTCTGTGAGACAAGCTATTGTGAAGCTACACAAGGAAAAGCACACCATTAGAGAGATTTCAGAGAAAGTGAAATGTTCCAAGAGTGTTGTAGGCAGGGTTGTTAAATCCTACAATGATACTGGCAAAATAGTTAGTGCTTTTAAAACCAGCAGACCCCGCAAAACTTCAGCAAGAGAAGATCGAATAATGCAGCGTATGTCATTAAAGGACCGTTTTAAGTCTTGCACAGAAATTAAAAGGGTTATGAATAGTACCTCATGTGTTAATGTGTCAAGACAGACTGTTTGTAGATGACTGCAAGAAATAGGGCTGTTTAATCAACCCCAGGAAGAAACCACTTGTTAGTTCAAGAAGAAGAGATTAGAGTTTGCAAACAGGTATGTAATTTGGACATATGAAAATTGGGCAAAAGTATTTTCAGTGATGAAAGCAAGTTTAATTTATTTGGAAATGATGGAAAAAAAACAATGTAAAGAGACATATTGGTGAAAGATTAAGTGCAAAGTGTACTAAGAAAACTGTCAAGTTTAAAGTGAAGGTCATGGTATTTGGAATGTTTTCTAGCCAAGGTACAACGCCTCTTTGTCCGGTTACAAACTTCGTAAAACGCGCAGATCTATAAAAAACATTGTTCAAGATCATGTTGTGCCAATCATACAGAATTCAGGTTTCGATAGGGCTACCTTTATGCAAATCCCACTAACACGGAGGATTTGTGGGTGAAGCTTCAAGAAGAATGGTCTAAAATTAGTATCGAGGATTGTCAAGAACTGATTCGTTCTTGTAGTTGAAGATGTGCAGCTGTCATTGAGAGCAAGGCCTCATTTACTAAATATTGATTGTACATGTATTTTTATTGTTTTTTTGCCGTTTACATTGTTTTTCTCAATTTTGTCCCTTACTTTTGGACGTTCCAAATTTGAAAATAAATAATTGTCATAATTCTTTTTCTATCCTTTGCAAATGATTCAAATTTTAGTATGTTATTATGGATGATAACGACGACCAGTTGTCAAAATTTCAGCTTTTCACAGTTATTTCTAACAAATATTAGGTTTTAAAATTTTGTCCCTTAGTTTTGATGCTACTATATAATATATATATATATATATATATATATATATATATATATATATATATATATATATATATATATATATATATTTTTTTATTAAACTCTACTCTGTATTGAGCATTTTTTAAAAATAGTGTTTTTGGTTACTGGAAGTTTATTCCATTTATACCAACCTTGTATTCGGAGATATATAGTAATGTAATTGTCATCTTTGATAATGGCTTATGTAAGCTGAAAGCTTAGATAGGATTAAAAAAAAAATGTATCAATATGCGGATTTTCTTTCATCTTTTAATGATAATGTTATTAAGCATATCAGACGATATGAAAAGAATTTACATAAAATAAATAGACAAAACTTGTCTATATTATTTAATGAAACCTGCATCAATTAAAAAATGCTGCCTAAATACACACAATTTAAATTACATGATCCAGCAGCCCACCAAACTATCAACACTTCGAATTATAAATGTTGCCTTGTAAAAAGGCAAATTGAAATAGCTAAAGAAAAATTGAACACCCATGACAGCAACAAACAGGACATCTATGATAAACTAAAGGATGTAACTACCCTGGACCAACTGGAGGAAATTACCAATAAATCTGAAGTTCAACACCAGTTTAAAATTATAAAAAAACTGAGTGCATTATACAAAGGTACTATCACTCTCCTCACAAAATTGATAAATTCATTAACCTTTCCAACTATGAACTAACTAAGCACCAAAAAGAATTGCTTAACCTTGGAACTGTCATATATACCGTAAGTATAATCGACTTTTTAAAAAAATTGAAATTGAGACACTATACCAAAACATTGTTAGACTCCAGGATGAACAATTAATAGAAATAACACCAGAATTTAAAGACTTACTTAAGGCCGAGGCATTCAAGGATCAGCATGATAAAAGCAGAAACTCCTTAAAAAATACTTGCTAAACAACTAAAAATTGCAGCACAAGGGACTACGCAACTACCCTGAGATAATTGTAAAGAAAAGCTGACATTTTTGTCATCCTAAACAAATTGGATTACATCAAAAAATTTGACCACATACTCCATGATCACATAAAGTTTAAAAAACTTGACCAACCAACTAAAATCAAAGCTTAATAAACTCATTAATGCTAATAATGCTGAACAGAACTCTTTAAAACTCCCTAAAATTGTTGGTGATTATAGACCTGGTTACATATACAGCACTATAAAAACACATAAACCTAACTATCCTCTCCATCCTATCATATTGCAAATTCCAACTCATGTATATCAGCTAACAAAATGCATTAACCAACTCATTACTCCCTACCTTCCTAGTATATATAGTGTTACTTCAACGTTAGAAGTAATCCAAATCCTAAATAGTGAAAAACCCAACAATGAAATCATAGCTTCACTTGATGTTGAAAACTTATTTACCAATGTCCCTGTTAGCAAAACTATTGACATAATTATAAGAAATATATACAGTAATTAATCCTAATATATTACGGAAACTACTATTAGCTTGTACTACTGAAGTCCTTCTTCGATCATAATAATAATATATATATATATATATATATATATATATATATATATATATATATATATATAAACATGATGGTGTCTCCATGGGTTCAGTACTGGGTCCGACATTTAGCAATTTCTACATGTTGAACTTTGAAAATAAGATATTTACAGAATTTAAAAAACCATCCATCTACCTAAGATATGTTGATGATATTCTTATGTTAGTTAAAAATACAGATGAAATACTTCAACTTCAAAAACGTTTCCAAAATAATTCTGTCCTTAAATTCATGTATGAACTCAATACTAATAATAAAATTCCCTTCCTTGACATATTGATAAACACACATAATAACAAATTTACTATTTTGCCATACAAAAAACCTACCAGCATAAATTCATGTACATTTAAATACAAGAGCAAATGTCCATATTACTACAAAATAGCAATTATAAAAAACCTAATACATTGTGCAGAAACTAATTCATCCACAAAACAAAAAGAACTAAAGAATATAAAACAAATGCTTATGAATAATAGCTTTCCAAACTATATAGTTGATAAACAAATAAGATGACTTCTTAGAAGTCTCAATACTAAGCAAATAGAACATAATACTGCTTCAACTAATCCCAAACATATTAATCTCCTATATCATAATCAAATGCATACTAATTATAAACAAGATGAAAATATACTAAAAAAATTAGTAAATGCTAATATATCTACAAAAGATCCTAGCAAAAAAAATTAAATTAATCATATACTACACTAAATCTAATATATCCAACTCAATTATTTGCAATGATTCTTCCCTAGTTAGCAATTTGCAAAAAACCAACATAGTTTACAAATTCAAGTGCCCTTTGAGAGATTGTATCTCCAGCGGATTAAATAATATTTATATTAGACACACCACAAATGACACTTGACTCTACATTTGAATGATAACTCTAACATCTTTAGACATTTAAAAAGACATACCCAGCTGCATACACAACTCTGGAAAATCCTTGTTGAAAACACAAATATACTTAAACATGAAAACAATAAACAAAAACTAAAAATTCTTGAAGCTATATACATAAAATAGTTGAAACTTAACCTTGAACAAAATAAACTATGAAATCTCCACAAATATTCTTAAATGCCTATAATTGATAACAGAAGCCATTGGTATAAACCAATGGCTTCCCATACTTAATACTTCTCATTTTCACTCTCGCATGGTCATGTGTGATGTCATGAGCTGCAGTGCGATTTTTGCTTCTAGAGTCTCATATGCACGAGTTTGTCATTGCTTGGAAATCTTCCATGCAAACAAAAACAGACTATCATTATTGTTTTGTCTGTGTATTGGTTTATATATTGTGATGTAATTGTCATCGATGATAATGGTTTATGTAAGCCAAAAGCTTAGTTAGGATTTAAAAAAAAAATGTATCAATATAGTGATTTTCTTTTAATAATAATGTTATTAAGCTTATCAGATGATATAAAAAGAATTTACATAAAATCAATAGACAAAACTTGAAACATGTATCAATGAAAAAATGCTGCCTAAATACACACACACACACACATATATATATATATATATATATATATATATATATATATATATATATATATATACACTTTTAAATGTTCCGTTTTTTTTTTTTAAGACTGCATAAAAAAGAAAGATATCTACATTTTTCTTTTATTCATTTTTTTTTTCTA